CCCTGGACATGTTCAGGGTCGTACCATGGATGGACCTCGGAGTCAAAGCCACAGGCATGTCGGAGACGGTAGTAAAAGCAGCGAGCCATGCCATCATGTCGTTTAAGATATGCTGTTTGTGCCAAGGAAGGGCATCCACTGACAAGGTGTTGGACAGTCTCTGTGAATTCATTGCAAAGACGACATTTCATATTGATATTTTCTTTAAGAATCACATTTAGGCGATTACGAGTGGGAAGTGACTGGTCCTGAGCAGCAAAAAGGAAGCCCTCAGTTTCACATTTAAGACCAGCCGACTTCATCCAGGCGAAGGAGTCGGAGGGATTGCTATTCTGTTCCACACACTGCATGTACACACGATGCAATGGCTTCTCAGAAAGCTTCTCCACAAAAGACCGACTCTGGGCAGACTTGGTGAAGGACTTCACCTGGTTTACTCCCATCGCTGTACCATCCAGCAGTATTATTATTATTATTATTATTATTATTATTATTATTATTATTATTATTATTATTATTATTATTATTATTATTTATATCTGAAATGACATGAGGTCTACACAACTGTCGGTATTTGTCCATATGTGTAAATGATTGTATGGTTGTCAGTGATGATTACATATTATTGCAAACTTTTCAATTTTTGGTTCATGGGGGTTGGACAGTAGTGGTAGAATCAGAGGGTGTAAGGTTGAGGGGTAGGATTGGTAGGTTTAGATGACACACAATAGTATACCTGAAATACTGACAGTACACAAAAGCGAAGTCAATCTCCTTGCTCCACCTTATAATGAATAATTCTGTGTGGATCCGATTCATGAAGGTATGTGTAACCTCTAGACGATCTGTCACTTACGCCATCGACTGATGCGCAAATTATTTTCTTAAGCTTAAACTTTGACTTCATGTGCAGTCTGAACACGTTTCGATCTCATTTATACGACATAATTAACATACCGACTGGGAAAAGGAACGTTTCATTTTAACAGCGGTCCCCGTGAGTAACAGCAATCACACTTTGTTGTAGTTGAGTAATTATTCATGGAACCCTATGTAAACTGTTTTCCCGGCTGATTGCAGTCTGGTCGCAGCTGTCTCCCAAAATGGCATTGGTCAGGATTCCGTGTCCGCCATTTGGTCAACGCTCAATGGATTGTATATTCATAGTGTCACTTTATACACTTAAGGACGTCGTGAATGTGCGTCTGACCCGTGAAGATCCGGGTTAGAATTGGTCTACAGCAACCCATGATTGTCGTAAGAGGCGACTAACGGGATCGGGTGGTCTGTCTCGCTGACTTGTTTGACACATGTCATCGTATCCCGATTGCGTAGAACGATGCGCATGTTGTTGATCACTGGATTGTATGGTCCAGACTCGATTACTTACAGACCGCCGTCATATAGCTGGAATATTGCTGAGTGCTTCTTAAAACCTAACTCACTCACTCACCCAATATGCGTCTTGTGAACTTTGTCTTTGTTGTGCTAGAGTGATCGTTGACATCACTGTACGTGTACGACTACGGCTGGATAGTTTTAGGGCTAAATAGAACTCTACATGAATACACGCCTAATAACCTTATCGCTTGTAGCTCCAGTTCTAGGTCTGTCAGCTCAGTACTCGTGGATGTGACCAAACAGGTGAACGTCTTAGACCTTGATCACTAATTTTCCTCCTACATTAAGTCGTGATGTGACTGAAATCTTTCTTAAAAGTCGCGTTAACAGGCGTTAAATCACTCACTCACTTTAAATTTCCATATGAATAGTTCCATATGTCCCTGTCCATATGACTTCCCCATGCAAAGTTCCGTCTAATGATGCCTTATGTTGATTTAATCAAGTCCCTCGTGAAAATCTATTAAAATTCATCTAAGACTTGATTAATTGAAACTTATGTGTGCTATTTAATGATGAACTTCAAGATCTCGCCAAAATAAGGTTCTTGTGTTGGTCTACTGCAGGTATTTTTATATCGCAAACTGTTTGTATATTTGTGTTGCCCCATCTATTTACATATACTTCGAGTTACCGGAGTTTAACTTCTGCATCCACGTGAGCGCGGAGATCGATTGGCAACTGATCGGAAAATCGATCAGTCATAACTGTTACTCCGTCATGACGTCTCATGTGCCCTTTGAAAGACCATCACCATCTACGTTTGTGCATCTGAAGACGACATTTACTGACAATATTTTAACACGTTAAGAAGACTTTCACCTTCCATTCTTGATACCCGAAGAATGCTTTCACCTTCCATTCTTGATACCCGAAGAATGCTTTCCCTCCATTCTTGATACCCGAAGAATGCTATCACCTTCCATTCTTGATGACTGAAGAATGCATTCACCTCCATTCTTAATACCTGAAGAATGCTTTCACCTCCATTCTTGACACCTGAAGAATGCTTTCACCTCCATTCTTGATACCTGAAGAATGCTTTCACCTCCATTCTTGATACCTGAAGAATGCATTCACCTTCCATTCTTGATACCTGAAGAATGCATTCACCTTCCATTCTTGATACCTGAAGAATGATTTCACCTTCATTCTTGATACCTGAAGAATGCTTTCACCTCCATTCTTGATACCTGGAGAATGCTTTTACCTTCCATTCTTGATACCTGAAGAATCCATTCTTGATACCTGAAGAATGCTTTCCATTCTTGATACCTGAAGAATGCTTTCACCTTCCATTCTTGATACCTGAAGAATGCTTTCACCCACATTCTTGATAGCTGGGCGAGGCGTTTACCTCCATTCTTGATCCATGTGAAAGACTTTCACCTATATTCTTGACAGATGAAGAAGAATTTTATCATCCAATTTCTACACTTTTCGGTCTCCATAGCATACATTTGTACATTTGGGGAACTGGGAATACTTATATGTTCCTTTTACTCCGATATGGACTGGGAATACCCGTTTGAAGTGTGCGTTTAAATTCGACATGTGCTGTGAATACCTCTGTGCACTACGCGTTTTACTCCGATATAGACTATGGAGTATGGAATGAGCGTGTAAATACGACGTCATGGACGGTGAATATGCGTTTAATTTTGACATGGACGATGAATACCTGAAGGAGAACACATATTACTTCGAAATGGACTGTGAATACATCTATGGAGTGTGCGCTTAACTTCGACATGGACGGTGACTCACTCACTCACTGCAACTAACGTTATATATATACAGTATTGAAGTTTTAGTGTGGAGTCGACAATACGAAATGTAATATCGCTTCTAACACTTTCAAAACTGGATTTGGAAACGTCTTCACAGTTAGATCTCTAATTTCAGTACAATTTGTCAATCACCAGACCTAAAACACTCCCAAGCACAATAATAACCGATATACTTCATGTTTCTCACTATATGATAACAGCCTTAACATTTACAAAGTGGTTTCAAAATGTTAGCACTCCCATTGTTTTCTTTTAGCGTTGGGAAATAATATTGACAGAGAATATATATGCGAACACGTATGATGGCGCCATAAGGACAAATCACTGCCGACGAGGGCCGCCGTGTGTTAGTCTGGTGTGGACATGGCGCTGTTGCTAGTCATCTGGGAAACCGCACGACTGAAGCTCGAGTTACACAAGTTCCCTAAAGCTTAGTTCTCATGTGTCGATACCTGCCGGCTCTTATGACTGTACGCGCGCCAAGACCTTAAGTCTCAAATCTCCCCTTTTCTCATAACCATGGTTACGTCACAATCATTTAATAAAATGAGCAGTGTGATTGTGGAACGTTATCCAAAGCCTTGCCAACCAATGAGATAAGCGGAAGGGAAACAAAGCGCTGATGACCTATTTTTCCAGGGGGAAATCCCCCCGAGTTGATCTCAGATGGTCGACCAATATCTTCCATTGTGGTCTGCGAACCTTCCCAGCAGACGACAGAGCATCGAGACGCCCGCCAGTATTCGAAATGCTTGTAATCTCGGCACATCAATAAATATCTGACAGCGCGTGTCAGCCACTAAGGCGCGGGGCACCGCGGAATTGTCAAACTGTTGCTTCTCTGCTCGAATGCAACAGGCGAATACAGCGGTCGTTGAATACACTGTTCATCTTCCAGGTGCTCCACCACGTCTTAACGTGACGCCCAGAGAGGATTCAATCTGGAAGTACCTGTTATGTAGTGCCTGGTCTCCATTACTATGGCTTATGAGATGAGTCGTCTCATTAATCATTGTCACAGACATTGGAGATTTCGACCAATTAGCGGTATTTAGATTTATACACAGATTGTGGATTAAACAACATCAGGCATTGGGGAGTCACTGTGATTGCAACATGTGGTTGGGATGTGATCGATACAATTCTCTGGAAACTTCAACGGTCACCGAAGACAACATACATGTTTTGCAGTGAAATACTCATATCGACCAATTGACCTGATGGTCAAATCTCCACGTGGATCTACCTGTAATTACCACGGCCACAGGTGTGGTGATAGTGGATTGACTTTTACAGTTATTAACGTTGCCTCGTTGATATAAGCTACCTGGATCTGAGTGGAAGTACCCCAAGGACGGTCACCATGAATCCCGTGTGCTGTCAGATATTGTAAGAAACGGGATTGTTTACTTTCTGTCAAATATGTGTAATGTCGATTGCTACAATGTATTTGTGTTCAATAATGAGTAATTTCGTATTTTGCGAACAATATCACTTCTATATGGATGGGTAGTTCTGGTATTTGCAGACCCCAAAACCACCTCTATTGATGGATCTGGTTATATTTCCAGGCACAAAAGGGATTGAGAACTTAGAGGGTTGGAGGGTATTATGGTAGAATGTGTCGTTAGAAATGTTTAAACAAAGTGAAGTCGTTGACCGTCGCACAAGGAACTGAATAAGGGTGTTCAGTGGAACAAAACAAATTTAAAGTAATAAGTTCTTTCAATGATTTCACATGATTTCCTTCACTGACGGCTTTGTTTTGTTCATTTGATCAATTCTAACCGTTCATTCTTCCAGCAGACCGTGGAGAAACTACGTCCAGACCGAGAACGGCCCAGTAAGTGTATCGCCCGAGCTCCACCGAAGCGGGTGTTTCTGCTGGCGAGTCCCGGATACTGACTCGAAAATGGCCCTCATTGAACAAGGGAACAGTGCTCCTCCAGAAAACTGCCACCGACTCGTGATCCTGGGCTCCTCCAAAGTAGGCAAGACGTCCATAGTTTCTCGCTTCTTGTACAGCAAGTTTGACGATAACTATACACCAACTATTGAAGACTTCCATAGGAAGATCTACCGGATTAAAGGCAACCCTTATCGTCTTGATATTTTGGATACATCTGGCAACCATCCTTTCCCTGCAATGAGAAGGCTGTCGTTGATAACAGGTAAGCCTAATTCGGGTATACGCCTCGTAATTTCATCTTTCAAATGCTGGACATGTTGTTGTGCCTGTATTTTCCCGTTGGTTGAAGGCAAGTAAGGGCATATATGTTAAATCTATGCCGTATCAAGTTATGATGTCTGTATGCTGTTTATATTTTAACTCAAACTTTGTTAAAGGCATTTGTATTTGGGTAGTTATGAAAATTTCGGGTTTGAATATAACGGACATACTTGAAATGTGGGTTTTTTATGCACAATGAACATCTTTCATTGATCTGTATTCTGTACATGTATTGACAATTACCAAAAATTATATATCCGCATTTTAAGTTGACGGATATTTGCTTCGTAAATATACAGAATCTACATGTATATTTATGTATGCGAGGCAAAAACATCTTCTTTTTTTTACTTTTTGAACACGCGACACGTGCCATGTATAGCTAGCATCTAGATCTGTTTCGAGTTGTGTGACTTTTAAAGAAATGTGCGCTAAAAAAGTAACCGTCCCGAATTCTGCAATGTGTAGTTTCCGTACTCAATTGATTTTTGTTGTCGAGTAGCACGTCCACTGTATATGTAATGGGCGGTGTACGTAATGTCACGACTGTGTGTAATGACGGTAGATGATAAGATCTGATAGTATGGTGATCCTGCATGCATACATACGAGGGACAGTTTCCGTACACAAATGTCTCTGTGAATCAGCAGATTGTGGAAGAGACGCCCGATTACATCGACCAACTCGTCCAATATCATCTCCTTTAGTTGAATGTGCGTCTGGGAAAGCGTCAATTCATGCATTGAGTCTGAAATCCACTGTCGTCCTATTTCTTGTCAGGTCGCGCTCTGCCTAACATGACTAGAGCATATTCATCAGGCTAGCTATTCTCGAAACGTTCGTAGCCCTACGAACTTCTTAAGGCCATTCTTAACACATTGGCTACGATCAAAGTTAAAAATTGTTAGGGCTACGAACGTTTCGAGAATAAGGGTCCTGGTGGTTGCTACTTGCTAGTTGGTAGTTGCAAGTTGCCTGTCAAATGAGAGTGTGAGAGACTGGGTGAGTGAGTGAGTTGGGTTTAACACCGCATTGAACAGTATTGTAATTATGTCAAGGTGGTAGAAAAGCAAGAAGTGATGCAGGTTCCAGACGTTTTCCAGTTTCGTGAAACCACGGGTGTGGTACATACAGGTCTAGAAACGTAATCGGGTGAACCGAGATCACAGATTTCTGGCTGGCTCAAGGAACCCAGTTCTGCGTAGCCATTTGTGGCGCCCTAGAAAACTGATCCCCCGTTCCCCCTGTCAAATGGGAAACCCCAGACTAGTATATTAAAGCGTGCTTGCATAGGTATATGTGGCAAACACGTGCACAGATATGTCCCCAGTCCTTAATGACCATGTGCTATTCGTCAACCAAACGTCTTTTTAGTTTCACGGGAAAATTACAACGGACCCTTTTTCTCGCATGACACAAACAATGATTCGTTTATTCGGCTGGTACGATGGTCCTATCACAGTGCGCAGGTCACATATGAGATGACGTTTATCAACGTTGCTGGCGGAGAGTAGTTGGATTGGTACCAGCTGGACACCTGCGATTTATTCATGGCTTCCTTCCTGTCCCACACTGAAGCACATGTAGCATTTTGTTTGAAATATTACGTCCTTCACCTAGTAGGGTGAGATCTCAATGCTTCGTGTTTGTTTACCTCTCGGGCAGCTTGAGTTGAATACTTACCATGAGTATGAAAGCGTCCTTATTCATTGAACAAGCTAATGGTAACGAAGCGCCAGGAGCATTCACTTCGTTAAAATACGGTCGCATTGTTGTTGTTGTTGTTGTCTGTTTGTTTTGTTTGGTTTTTGTTTTGTTTGTGTTTTGTTTTGTATTTTGTTGTTGTTGTTTTGTTTTGGTGGGGTTTTTTGGGGGGTGGTTGGAGGGAAAGGGGGCGTTTGTTGAAATTTGGTTGTTTTTTATCATCATCATCATCATCATCATCATAATCATCATCATCATGACCACGTGATCAGAGCTGACATATTGCAAACTGGACTGTATCCGGTATGCGGACATATAACCGGAAATAACAAGGGTAAAGGTCATGCGAACGCAATGTCTCGTCTGTCCGATGCTGCCAGATCGTGATGAGCACGGGTTACACGTTGAGGAATGTTAGCCAACCCAAGACTTTAGAACATGTAATAACTGCTGTGGTTTCTATGGTACAGCGTCACCCAGCGCGATTCAGCACTTCCCAATGGTTCAGGATCCATGGACGGATTTGTGGTTCCGGGGGTGATTCTGCTGCAGCTGCTTCTGCTTAAGATTTCACATTTGAAGATGCAATCGAAAACACGTTGTTGTATACGTTTGCAACAAATGACATTTTGATATGAAGCGGTCCTTGACAGCATTTCTAACCTATATGGGTCAAGTGACGAACTATCTGCTGTTTGTACCGATACGAAAGAATGGTGTTATGGCCGTTGTTCTGTTTCCAGTCGTACGGCGGCGTTTTACGTTATATTTCTGTTAGTCGTAGCACATTTTGGCAACCGAGAATACCCCTAGTACCAATACACACGCGCGTGAGCACACAGACACCAACGCTTTTAAATGCATATTCCTTGACAGGTATATTTTATGTGCAAAACACTCAACCTATGATGCTTGGTAGGTTGTAGCCCATTAGCCATACGCCCATTTCACATACTGCCACTAGTCATACGAAACTAGGATTAATTAAAACAACAAGGGTCATGCTCCCCACGATTCAATACTCATCTGCTTTTCTAGTGTAAAATCAGAAGTACTGAAGAAATGTTTTATATATTTATGGAATATGCTTGTAATAAAAATAAATAAAATATGGTCGTTTCATATGGGTCATTCCATTACCTACAGAGACACTAAGGGTTCATAGGTAAGAGCAATCAACCATTACTTGTGTTTATTTAAGGCGTATAACTAATGGGTCGTATGACTAATGGCATGCCACCGCTTGTTACCCTTCAATATTATAACATTTTGCACTTGGGCGTTCCTGCTTCTTTGTTAGTCCAACAATGCCACTATTCCCTCATTTCGTATGTTCCATCATTATCATGCGTCACATATCGTTTAAGTGTTAATATCGTTCCTACACCTATACTAATATGACCTTAGCATGTCAGGTGGGATGTGTACTGTTGTACACGGTACACGTAACGACAGTAATTGCACAACATTTGGTGGTTCACAATAAGATCCAGCGTCTGAAATGACCGGTTGTAGTTTTGCGTGCGATGTAATCGTATGTAATCGTATCGTAACTACTGGTAACTTCAGAACCCCCCAACTGCCTGACGTAATTAAGTGCAAGCGTCATGTGAAATATGACATGTGACTCGCGGATCGATTGTGTGAAGGCACATCTTGGCAGAATGATTGATTGCTAAGCCACACGAATAGACGGGCAGCTCCAAACACAAGGACATTAGATTTCTGGTAAAAAAGATTAATTGCATCGTATTAAACCACCATTGTCTTCCGTAGCATCGTGTGTTCAAGTTATTATGATAGAAGTTGATTATGATCTCTGCTGAAATCGACAATCAATCTTTGTGGCATCGACAATATTTATTATTTGATTGCAATAGGCTACAGTACTCGTGTTCTTGTCATGGGTTTAGACGGACTGTAAAGATAAAGGTGAAGGACGCACATATACTCTTCCCAAAAAGAAATGCATAACTGGTAATTCTAATGTTGATTTTGTTTATTCATGAAACATTTAATACAGACGAAATATTTTACATGTTTGTTCACTGACGTAGCATACTAACGCAACCGTTTTATACGTTGGCAGAGTTATACAGCAATTTTATAGTTCTGTCAGGAAAATAGCAAGGACAACAAATTATAATCAGAATTTCCGTCCAAATTGCGATAATTATATATAAGTTATAAGTGACAATGACTTATATATATAAAGGTCAAACGTCAGTTAACATTTTGCCATACGATTATTTGAAGTGGGAATATGTCGAGTCTGAATGCTGCCAGCCGAAACAAAAGGTCTTATAGTCCTTTCAACGTACAACGAAGCACCATATCTCGTTTACTGAATCGGTATACCCGCCTCAAATCAATCCAATATCGTGATAAAAGCATTTGACGAAGAGTCACTTCCCCTGCAAGTGATTGCGACATCCGGGTCTTTCATCCACGTCACCTGCTACTGCCACTGAGACGGATTGACACGTGCACTGTTTGACTTAGACCCAGAAAACCGGTTTTTGTCCCTGTATTGAGACGTCTGCATCGCGTTCGATGGAGCATCACGGTATAGGCATGGACTCTTTGGAACCTTGGGTGAACTCTGGTTCGGTGGTGAATCACTATTTCTTATCCAACGCCGTGGTGGAAGACGTGAAAATGGTGGACATATTGCGTGGCGGAAGTGTAATGGTGAGGGTAACCATATCCGATCTGAGATCTGACGTGGCGGTGATGGCTCCTGACAAGAGAAAAGAGTCTGTATTTCCACTTCGTCAACAGGGCATGTGACTGTCACCATGATAAGTTTCATCCTTGTATCAATCAAATTAAATGAATTATGCACATTTAAGTGCGGAACAGAATGTTAAGATATAGTAATTAGCGCATAGAGCATATAGACAGCTGAATAACATAAGTAATAAGTAAGGATATCGTATGTTGACTAAGAGTAAGGTAATGTACAGTGACCAACTTTAAAATAAAAGCAGTGGGTGCATCTGATATATATGGAACAACGTCACAGATACCTTCACAGTGCCATTGATATACCTTCACATTGATACCTTCAAAATGTCACTGATACTTTCACAATGTCGTCGATACCTTCACAATGTTATTGGCACTTTTATATTGATACCATCTCATTGACACCTTCACAATGTCATTAATACCCCGACCCGTGAAGGTCCGGGTTAGAATATTGATCTTCGGCAACCCATGCATGTCGTAAATGGC